GCCAGTGGGCGGATTGTGGACCACAACCAGTGTTTCGTAAAGGGCTTGAAACCAGCTTTCTCATCCCATGGTGAAAAACTAGGGATTCCATTTAAAAAAACCATCGTGACCCCTGAATGACCTTCAAAATGACCTTCCAAGGATTTTTCAAGGTCAGTACCATACTTCCCCCGTGTAACTCTAAACTTTTCATACGAAACATTTTTCTCTATCCCTACTAGTTTTCGAGATATTTGACTGGATCACTTCAGATGGTCCACCCTGTATACACATGCTAGATATTGTAACTCTCATTGGGGATGGTTTTTATTTTTCTTACTTTTCGAAATATTCATATTTTTTAATATGTTTCTGACTTTTTTTTATTAATATGCTTCTTAATTATATTATTTTTCTAAGTATCATATTCTTATCCTTCTTATTTACATTCATGCTTTACTTCTATATTACCATGTTATTATTATATATCGAGATCTAGCAGTGCCAAGTGCATTATATGAAAAATTTTTCTATTTAAATTAAATTTTTTCATTTTAAACGGTTAATTCTTTAATTTTTTGTGGTAACACTTAAATTGAGCGAGGTAACGCAATTTTGTGATAATGTTTGTATAATGTTTTGAAGGAGAATTAAATAACCACTACTTTATTTGGAAGAGGAAATGTCTTTGAATGAATTGTGATATAATAATTTCATTTAGCAGGAATTTAAACCATTTGGATTAGAAAGGTTCTTCAATAAGTACACGTATACTTAGGTTTCATTGCATAAAAATTAAAGATGGTACCATTTGGATTAAGTAAATAATAAAGATAGTATCACATGAGTTTTACTTTTCATTTTGTAAAATTTAACTTGGCACCACAGTTATTGATATCAAGTCGTTCGTGCAAATAATACATACCATTAGATTAATATTTATTATTTATTTAATTTGTCATGGTATAAGGAAGTGGCATTTAACTTGGCGCCATTTCTTGATATCAAATCTTTTATAGGAATGATACATATATCATTAAAGTTAATATTATTTATTTAATTTGGTATTCGAATTATATGCAATTTTACTTGGCGCCAATTGTTGATATCAAAGCTTTTTTACGAAGAATACTTAAAATTTTAATAAAATTTGATGAATTTAGGTTGGCGCCAATTTTGTTGATATCAAATCTTTCATACGAATAATACATATCATTATAGTTAAATAAATTAAGAAAAAAATTAAAAAATTGGAAAGAGTAAGGGCACTAGGAGTCGGGCGCAGAAGACGTCCTGCAAATAATACACTTATAAAGAGTGAAACTTCTTTATTCAATAAACGCGCTTACATGTTTCGACTCATTTTTGAGCCTTCCTCAGAGCAAATACACATTAACGTATATAAAGTAAAAGTTATCCTATCATGGTGAGTTCCCCTACATCGAGAATTTAAATACCAGAATTAAATAAAAAGAAAGAAAAGAAAATGAAGAAGGAAAATATTAAAAATGTCAAATTAAAAAATATAGAAACTAATTTATCGAAAAACTAACCGAAAATAGGGACGCTCACCACAATTACAAAGTACCATATCGTAAACAATATCATGAATAATTCAAGAACCGGTTCCTGATATGTGACCAGTCGGTATCAGACACACAGTGAGTCACTTTTTAGTTATTAACTAGTACAAATGAAAATTGTAAAATGATAAAAAATTTTTCGTCAGAAGGACTTATTACTGTGTACGAGCGACACCGACTGACACGACGTGACAACAACTTGAGCTTTTATAGTTTATCTATAATCGGGAGGTAGATCTTTGGAAGCCCCTCCATATCCGTCTGCAGGTTGAGTCCATGTGTTTGTCTCCTGATGAATACCATCTCCGAAATTAGTCTCTTCCTGTAATGAGGTTCCTCGTCCAATATTGCAACACTGCCCCAGTCAAAATAATGTCCCTCTTGCAACCGATGTTCCGTTATATAACACTGCGAGCAGTGTCCTTATACATATACCATATTGTAGTCTTTTTTCAAACTGCGCGCCGAATTGTTTTTCCGGACTAAATAAACGCAATTAAAACTACTCTAGTAATCGCGAATTAAATTGACAAGCAATTTTAATAATTTGATGCTACCATCAAGCATCATATATTATAAAGATGTTAATCTATAAAAACTATTAATA